TTTACCCTCTGAATCTCATTCCAGCCCCTTCCCCCTCAATGCACAATGGTGTCCCTCTCGCTCCCCCTCCAGTTTATTATGTAAACATCCTATCCGAGGGGCAGGAGGCAGGGAACCATACTGCAGTCATCAGTCAAGCAGCCATTGCCACTAACCCGGGCAGTGTGTGTGCAGCAGATTGGGACACAAGAGGAGGCACTAGCTTGTGTGTCTAACAAAACCTCCCCCCATAGGACAGGCAGGATTCAGATGACTGGGGGTGGGGGGCAGAGAGAGGAGGAAATTTTGACCAGTTTGGGGAGGAGGGTAGCGTGGGAGTGGGGGTGTGGACACCCGCCCCCCTTTTTTCCCCTCCAAGCACTGTAATCATAGATGTAAAGGATCTCTTCCCCCCCACACACACACACAGCCACCCCCCTCAATTAGACACCCTGCCAGGGTGCTTCATTCACTCAAACCCGCTGCACAAGGAGGGGAACCAATCAAGAGCAAAAGCTCCTTCATCTTAGTCTCGGAGGTTCCTTTCTCTATTTTGGCTACTGTTGGGGGGGGGCTAGAAGGGAAGGGGTGCGGGAAGAGTATCCCACAGAAAGCCCCCCCCCCCCTTTCTGCACCTTAAGCCTTGACCAGTCTCGGATCTGCCACAAACCTGGCTCCTGCTAAACAAAGGACTATCCCACCTCCCAGCCCTGCCACGCCAGAATTCAACTCTCAAAGAGCCCCCCCTCCCCCCGCCGTCCTCGCCTGCATTTGGGTTTTGGAAAAGGGGGCGGGGGGGGGGGAGCGTCGTGCCGGGAAAAAGCCGCCTCTGAATCCCACCTCGGTTCAACCTTTAGAACAAAGGGCACCGCGCCGCGCACTTCCTAGTGACTCAGTGCAACACGGCGCCCCAGCGGGGTGCAGGCAGGATGGGGCCCCGCGCACACACACAAAGCCAGGGGAAACTTTTGTGGGATCAAAGCCTACGGAGAGGCTCCATTTTAGGTCCAGATCCCAGCAGCTTCCCCGGGACCCCGGCTCGGCTCAGCCCAGCTAGGGGAGCCGACTGGTGGGAGAGACTGGGACCCATCCCGCCTGGTGCAGGAGGTTGAGAAATGGGGCCACACACACACAGGGGCCCCCGGGAGCCGTTGCTTTGCAATAGAGGCGAAGAATTAAACCCCTCTACTAGCCACTTGAAAGAAACCAAAGCGCCAAGGGGCTGGGGGAGGGGGGAGATCCTTGCTCGCCCCCCGCCCCACAGATTGGTGAGCCCCGGAGTTGGGTCCCTCCTGGGGTAGTTTATGGGGGGAGGGGGTGCTAGACCTACCTTTCTTTATGCAAGAGAGCCAGCCTCTCCTTGGGCACTTTGAGCCTCTGGGACAGTCTCCGCTTCAGTCCTTCCACCGTCTCTTCCACGGGGACTGAGAGCTCATAACGGGTCCCGGTGGTGGTGTTGATGTACAGATTCATGGAGGGCTCGTTCGGGACGGCCTCGCAGGCTGGGGCACCCCGGCTGCAGCTCCTGGCGCTGGGCTGCTGGTCCATTCGGTGACCTGGGGGGGGCGGCAGGGAGCAGCGGTTGGTGTGGCACGGGGGGAACCAAGGTGGGGGGGGGTGGACAAAAAAAGGAAGTGGAAGGGAACAAAGGAGCGACCAGAGCGCCCGGTTCGGCTGCGCACACACACACACACACACACACACACACACCAGCCGGGGTGGGATCGCCTTCCCGAGTCCTCTCTCGCTCCGGTTTAATATCCAAGGGTCACTCCGGATCCGTGGGGTCCTTCCAGGTCTTCCTCGCGCGGGGTTTTAAAGGGGACTTGGTGGGGGAGGGGAGGGGACCAGCTCTCCCTGAAGAACAAGGGAGTTTGCCCCGATTTAACCTCCCTAAAAAAAATAGTAAGAATAAAACCCCACAAGTCACTCTCGCATCGGGGATTTCCCTTCCCCGGATGCCTCCTGAGGACGCGGATCTCGTCGGGAGATGCTGCTCGCGTGTGTGTGTGAGAGAGAGAGAAGGGGGGGTGCTGCCTCCGTGCTGGGGGGCTGCAGAGGGAGAAGTGTGGGGGGAAAAAAGCTTTTTCGTTCCTGATTCCCCACCCCCTTGGGGCTGAACCCGGCTACCCGGCAGCCGCCGCTCCGAGCTGCGCCGGTGTCGCGGTGTGAAAGTAACACACACACGGTACCCACACACACACAAAAAGTTATAATGTATCAACGTTCTATGGGGGGGCGGAGCTAATTTCCCCCCTCATTCACTTCTTACTCCTTTCGCGCAGCCGCCAGCCAACCCGGCCTCTCCGAACGTTGAGACAGGCAACCCGGGGCCAATCGCGGCCGGCCCGGTGCTCCCCCACGTGGAAGCCTGACTCCTCCCTCCCTTTCAGAGCGCTCCACCTCCACCCCCCTCCCCCCAGCCACCCCACTTTCCCCCCTACGCCTTTGCCCAGCAGATCCTGACCCACTGGACACAGGAGGGTTGCCTGGTGCCTGGCTAGATTCCTCCCCACCCACACACTTGCAAAGCCAGCCCCCCCCGCTCTTTTTTTTTTAAGCCATTCATAATATATTAGCCTCACAACAAAGGGCTGAGCAGAAAAACCTCCGCTCAGCTGCTCCCTGGGTTTGGGGAAAGGAGGGTGAGGGGAGATTTACACGCGTGCTCAGCGGCCAGGTCTGGGGGCTGGTCTCCGTCCCGGCGTGGGACGACACACACACACACACGATTGCAGCTTCCTCCTTGTTTCTGCTGCTGCCCGCAAGCCGCGCACGGGAAAGGTCATGGATGACCCGAGCCTGCGCCGCAAAGCCATTGTTCTAAGGAGCGGGGAGGGTATTTACATTTCTTAAGATGGAAGGAAATCCTTTGCCTAGCGGCCCCCCTCCCCCCCCCGGGGATAAACTGGAGGAAGGTGGTCGCTCCAGAACACGCCAAGGATGTCGCTTCTTCCAAACAATGGCCGGCCGGGGTGCTCCCTCCCAGGCCGGTTCTAGACCCTCGAGGTCTGCGAGGAGCTGGGACCAGTGGAAGCGCTTGGCAACGGCTTTCGCCTCATCCGGAGTGCGCGGAGGTCACGGAGCGAACAGCAAGTGAAGAGAGACAGACAGACATTCCCCCCACACACATACTGACTGGCAGGAGCGGGGGAGGGGGGGGGTCTATGGGGAAATATCCAACTATTACAACATGCGGATGAGGACTGAGCAAAGCCCAGACTCGGATGCAATCCTCCTTGGGCAAATTCCGGTTCCAGGCAACTTCAAGGTTTGCTGGGGACAAGGGCCGGGTTAGATTTGCCCCCCCAAAGCCGGAGGTCAAAGCGCGTACTGGCGGTGCAGAATTGCTCGGTGTTATACGCGGGGGTTATGAACCCAGCAGCCGGAGACGGTGCCGAATGAATCCGCAAAGCAAGGGCGCCCCCTGCTGGGCACGGAAAGCCCGGCGGGCAGGTTAGAATCGGGGAGCCTTGCCTGGAGTGTGGGAACCAACCCCACAGAGACCGTCAGCGCTGTAGGAACAGCGTGTCCTCTGTGCAGATGGGAACGGAAGAACCACTTAAAACACCACACCCCCCCCCTACCTACATACAAAGATACCTGGCCAGCTGCTCCTTTGGCGGTTAAGACGGGCGTTGGCACAAACATCGCCCCAACCCTATTCGATCTTGTGTGTAAACGGCCCGGCGAGCAAGGGGCAGGTTAGTTAACCAACCCGATCTGGGTGTAGGGCCGAGGAGCAGGCGTAGGCGAGGGCTCGGCCCTTTCTGGCACCTGAGGGCAGCAGGCTGGGTTCTTCTGAACAATGGGGTCATAAAGGATCACGCACCAGGGAGTTGAATTGCCTGGAAACCCGCCTCCCTCCCCCGGGTGGGGGCTGAACCCTTGGAACATCCGGCCTGAAATAAGTCGCCTTAACTCCTGCCCTCGCCTGGGAAGGTGAAATCAAATGATTGATTTCTGCTCAAAATAAGGAGCGCTACAGTCACTCCCTCGTGACAACTCGGATCTCTTTCTTCCATCCAGCTATGCCTGGGTGTCTCCCATTCTCCCCCAGGCATTAGATTTGAAACTGTAGATTAAAGCCACCTAAAAACGCTCTCAGGAAAGTTTAAAATCCAAAACCCCCAATCCTGCCAAGTCTGTCAGTGACATCTGCCTTGTTCGATTCAAGCAGAACTGCCAATGAAAAACAAGTCCAATCGGCTCAGGCTGCCTCGAGTTTCATTGAAGTCAGAAAGAAAGTTTTTCGGAGCGAGCCCCCTGAGAGACGCTTAAAAATGGGATCTGGCCGCTGTGGGACTCCTGGAAGGTTTCCCCGGAAAGGGGTGACTACAGGGGACCCTTTACTCTCAGTTTAGTTTGCCAAGGTGCTGATCAGACTGTGGTGTGAACCAGGAGCCGCTCCGAAGGCTCTACATCGGTAGCGAGATCAGAATCGGAGCCAGGGACTCTCTCCCCGACAGCCCGCCCCTCTTCCTTAAAAGACACCGAACCCCTCGTTTAAAAGATGGATTTGGGAGTTGTCTTTAAGGCCCGAAGCCAAACAAGCAGGAATCTCGTGGGGGGCCCAGCCGGGTTCCTCCGGGCGCTCTCAGTCGCTGGCTTGAGAGGAGTTAAACCCCCCGCCCGGGAACAGCACGAAATGACTTACCAGGTCCAGCGAATCCTTCCCCTTCGCCTCCTTCACCCTGCGCAGCCGGAACGGCTCGGGGCCCCCCCAAAAAGAAACTATATCCCGGTAAGCACGTGATCCAATCCGGCTCCAATCGTCCCCCAAGCAGGTAAATCCCGGGCTAGTCCAGAGCGCGCACAACAAGGGGGAAATCCAGCTCCCTTCCCAGCCTGGCTCTCGGGCTTGTGAAGCGGCTCCGAGCGAGGGCAGCCTTATTCTTTAATGTTTGGGAGGCGCTAGAGAAGTTTTATCCCCCCCCCCCCCGCACCATTAGCCGGGGTGGAGCCTGAGAGAGAAGGATCAGCCATGCCGAGTCAGCAGGGAGATTGGAGGTGACGCAACTCTCACACCTGCCCCGCGCCGGCCCATTTTCAGTAACTCTTTCACAACCCGCCCGACTTCTGCAGCCTCTGCCTTGTGGTTCCCCATTCCGCCTTCCAGTAAAGGCCAGCTCAGAACGCTCCTGATTGCTCCACACACCCGGCCCCGGGGTGCTAGGCGCTGTACGTCCACCTAGCGGAGAGGGTTAGCCCTGAAAAGTGTATCAGCTGAACAAAGATGAAGGAGGATCCCATCCTCGTACTCATGGGAAACTGAGGCACGGAGAGAGGACGTGCCTTGCCCGGTGTCTCACAGGGACAGAGCGGCAGAGGTAGGAGCTGACCACAGATCTCCTGGCCCGGGGTCTTAAAACAGGCCCCTCCGATAGCCAGCGGTTTTCAATTAATTTGCCATTCTGAGCCGCATAGGCAGCGTCCACACACGTGAGGTTTTTACTCACGAAAGCTTATGCCCAAATAAATCTGTTAGTCTTTAAGGTGCCACCAGACTCCTTGTTGTCCACACACTGGATCAGTGGTTCTCAAACGTTTGTGCTGGTGCAAGCCCCTGAGTGCACCCACCCCCCCCCCCAATAAATGAAAAACACTTTTGTATATGTTTAACACCATTATAAATGCTGGAGGCAAAGCAGGGTTTGGGGTGGAGGCTGACAGCTTGTGACCCCCCCCATGTAATAACCTCCCAACCCCCAGTTTGAGAACCCCTGCACTATATTATATATTTACTACTTGTATGGCCCTGAGGATGTCACAGAGGCAGCAGCTGTGGGCTGCAAGCGATGAGAACCACTGTTACAGCACTTTCAGTTTCCCAGTTTCTCATCATAACTTAGCTTTAAAGGGACAGTCAGTTCAGCTAGGGCAGAATTAAAAAAAAAAAGACTGCAAAAAAAGAAGAAGAGGTTTTGCAGCTCTAAGGCCGATAGAAATGTTGCTAAGTTTGGTTTGGCTAATAAAGCAAAGTTGTGTTAGCTCAAAGCCCACAGGCGCATGGACACACACATCTATGCCCTGCAGCGAGACCCGCTGCAGCTTTGGGGAGCAGACAGGGGATGGTGCTTTCACAGGACGCAGCCTTTCGGAAAGGCGTGTAGATCTTCAGAGTGTGCTCCGCCCTCTGTTTGGCATTGATCAGTTGTGAAATAGTTCACAGCCTTGCCCTGGAAATGCTCCTTGTCAGATTTCAGGGCTAATGCTCCTTGGGATGGCATGGGGTTGGACACCCTTCTCTTAGGATTCGGGGGACATCACCACCTCAGTTCTCATGTTGAAGAGTTTTCTCTGTAACCATAAAGCCTAGGGATGTGTTATTTTTATTTGAGTAAAGGCCCAGATTCTGGAGCACTAGCTGGCAGAAGCTAGGAGAAAGTGGCCTGGCCTGGGTCAATCACCTAGCGCTAGTGCAGGTGAACCAGAAAGTGAAACTGACTCAAAACAAACGTGAAACTGACTAGCCTGGCTTTAGGATGCCCTAAGTGAAATGCAGAAAGTAAACAAACCGCAGCAATAGGGGAAAGCAAATCAGATTGTGAAATATAGTTAAGGCTGAAGAATCTAACATCCTGTCCTAACATAAGTCGTATTGAATTACACTTAGCAGCCCCAGTCATGGCCCAGGATCTCATTGCGCTAGGCGCTGTACAAACACAGAACAAAGAGATGGTCCCTGCCCCCCAGAGCTTCCAATCCAAGTATAAAAAAGAGACACCAGTGCATGCAGACAGGGGAGCACAAGGAAATAAAAAAACACTGTTTTGGGATTGTTTTTAAATCTGATTTTTAACATTATCCTGTCCCTTTAAGACAGGGCTCCCTACCTAGCATGGGGACCCCGATGTAATACGGGGGAGCGGAATCATAAGCGAGGTAATCTCACATTGGAGACAGGAGGCTGAAAGCAGCGTTTCTACATGGAGCAGGTGAGAGTTTACCTGCATGGGCCTTCAGAGTCCCTTTGTGCAGCCCTTAAACCTGGTGTCCTGGCAAACGGACTGTAGGGGCCGGTTGGTTGCAGCATGGTTGTAGCTGCGTTGGTCCTGGGATATTAGAGAGACGAGGCAGGGGAGGGACTATCTTTCATTGGACCAACTTCTGAGCTGAACTTTCCAGCTCCACCGAGCTCTTCTGCGGGTCTCAGTGTTCCAGCTCCAGGCCACGGCTGGCCTCGGCTCCTTGCCCCCCCCCGCCCCTTCTAAATAAACTCTGGTGTGGCTGCCTAAAGGATGCCAAGCAGCTGGGGCAGGGGATTTGTGAGGGCAGGGTGGGAGCCTGCATGATTTGCATCCTCCCAGCTCCACAGCCTGGCTGCGAGGAAGGGGCAAGGAACCCCGGGCTGGACGGAGCAGAATGCCTTTTCCCGACAGCGCCGTCCACAACCCAGATGCCTCCCCTCACCCCCACAGGATCCAGGGAAACTCTCTGGATTTCCCCTGTGAAAGTGGCAAACTGGGGCAGCGCAGGGTTGGGGGGAGGGGAAGCTGTCTGTTCTATATGTCAGTGCTCCTGGGTTGCTAGGGATGGATAATCTCAGTCCACAGAAGAGCGGTTCTCGAGCTCCCCCCACATCCACGGACTTCTCCCAGCCTCCCAATCTGCCCATCTCTGCATTCTACTGGCCGGATTTCCCAAGTGCTCCCTCGCCTCCATTGTTCTCAGTGGGAGAGGTAGGGCCAGGGGGAGATTTTCTATTGTTCTCGGTGGGGGAGGGGACTCTCCATCCTTTTCGGTGGGCGCTTCTGAGTGCTCGGCGCTGATGGAAACCTGGCACCTGCATCCATCTCCCTTGGGGGCCTTGTGTAGACTCCCCTGGGGCGATAGGGGCTGAAGTTACCCACCTTCCTCCCACTAATCCTTTCGACAGCTGGAATCAATTGTAGCTTAGCAGGTGCCATGGCAAAACCGGTGGCATGGGAACCCTAAAATAAAGCCTCAGACAAAGTCTAGAAGTTCAGTGTGAGGGAGAATTGGGGGTGGGGGCGGCATTTGCTTTGGGAATCTTCCTCTGGTCTCGTGCCCCCTCTGGGTGTCGCATTTTCCAGCTTTTCTCTGCAGCTGCGAGGGTGAGGGACTTCACTCTTTTCTTTTTTTAACTAGGAACTGAGCTTCTCCCATCACCCCATGACTCCGGGAGCTGGGGCTTTAGGAAAAACCCAGAGACTGCAGCCTGATGCAAGAGGTGACAGCAGGGAGAAGCCAGGATTCTCATCAGCCCAGGGTTTTGTGTGTTTAGTTGATTGTGTTGCCCTGGGAATCCTTACTAATGAATAAAGTTAGACTGGGGCGTATTTGCCTGTACTGCGTCAGAGGCGTTCGAGGGGGAAGTGTTCTTCAAACTGCCCGTGGCTGAAGCGCTTTGGGAGAGAGAGACTCTCCGAGGAGCAAATGCCTACAGAGATCCCGTTGGCAGCTGCACGAAAGCCGCCTGCAATCTGATTATCTGACCTGGGCCGGGGATTACTCCCATCCGCAGCGCGCCAGCCACACAAAGCAAGCGGATTATGCAACCCCCTTCGCCAGAATCCATGGGGCTGAGCGCGCAGTGGGCCCAAGTGCCCCCAAGCATGTTGAGCACTTCCCAGAGCGCCCCAGTACGTCTCCGGGGCACGGTCTCTTAAGGAGTTCTCCGGGCACAAAGGTCACCGATTGCATGAGCTTTAAAGAGTCTGTTTGGGCTGGGAGTTCCTCTGACACCCCCAAATCTTTAGGAGGTGCCTGAGAACCCAGCCCCCTGAAGGGGGGGTGTGGAATCCCAGTACTCACTGGTTTTGGGAGCATCCCATAAATGGTGAAAGAGTTAATCCCCGGCTGATCTCAGCCTTGCCAACCCTGGTGATTTGATCAGGCGTCTCGGTGTATTTCCCTGAAGCCCCAACTCCAGGAGTCAGGGGGTGAGGCAGGAATCACGGTTTTCATTAAAACAAAACAAAACAGAGTCCGTTTCTAGCCCTCGTGACTGCAGAGAAACGCTGGGAAATGTGACCTGAGGGTAACCCGCCAGGCACTGAACGCAGAAGGCAACGGGGCGGGGGGGGGGGGGTAAGGTGTTAATTAAATAAAACCTCCTGATTTTTAAGTCAAATCACATGATTTGGTCAGGCCCGGTTCTGGGTGTTGGCGATGCAGCTGATGTGCAAAGGGCCTGGTCTCACGCTGGCAAGCTCACACTAGCCCCCGGGTGGGTACAGAGAGGGCACCAGCCAGGCAAGCGCTCTGTCTCACACACACCTGGCGGGACATCCCCTGCTCTGCAGCTGGACACAGGGCCTGTTCCCAAGCTCATGAAGTCGCTGGGGGTCTTTCCCTGGGCTCCGCACCAGGCCCATGGCCAGCCAGGTTCAGTTCCCAGCAGAGACCCCTGGAGAGACTGGAATGAGGGATTGCGGGGGAGGGTCTCACCCCTGGGTCCCCGGGCTGGGGAGACGTCAGGGCCGTAGTGGGGGCAGCCAGTCTAACACTGGCCTGAATTGCTGCCCCACGGTCACCATTGCAACCCCTCCCCCTTGGAGCCCCGTTAAGGCACTTGCTGTTGGGTCTCATTGCCAAGCCCTTAGTCACCATGGGGAGAAATTACTGTGGTGAGTAGCCCCATTGCAATGCCCTGTGCAACTCAGGTGAGCAATAGCTCATGGCCCTTAGTAACAGGCTGGCAATCTCCCGCACAGGCCTCTGCTGCCCCGAATCAAATCCCGCCCCAGGCCCCTTGCCTGCCCCCATGCGCAGTGTTGTCTATAACAGCGTTTAAAAGAGAACTGGATAAATTCGTGGAGGTTAAATCCATTAATGGCTATTAGCCAGGATGGGTCAGGAATGGGGTCCCTAGCCTCTGTTTGTCAGAGGGTGGAGATGGATGGCAGGAGAGAGATCACTTGATCATTACATGTTCGGTTCACTCCCTCTGGGGCACCTGGCACTGGCCGCTGTCGGTAGACAGGATACTGGGCTAGATGGACCTTTGGGCTGACCCAGTAAGGCTGTTCTTATGGGGTGGGGGATTATAGCCCCCAGGGGACAGACCAACCATTCCCACATTTCCAGGGCTGTCGACACCCGTCTGCGTCCGTGAAAACGGCCAGTCAGTGCCGTGTGTTTCCTTGACGTTGGTACCATGTTTCGGTGGCTCCTAGTAGCGGGACTGGCCTCCCAAGACCGGCAGTCCCTGCGTTCGGGGCCTCCCGCGGGTCCAGAATGGCCAGGGCGGTGCCGGGCTAGGAGGGCGTTAAGGGGTTCGACAGGACTGGTGACCCCACAGCGACACCCCCGGCACCCGGCTGTGCAGAGGGCACAGAGCCCCCCATGCCCGGGCAGGGCATTTCCCAGGGCTCTGCGCCCTGCCTGTCTGCAGGTGAATTGAGATCAGGGAGGAAGTGGAAGTGAAGTCACTGAATCAGGATGAATCAGCAAGCTAGGGGCTGAAAACAACAAGGTGTCGGGGGGGGGGGGAGCAGAGGAGGGCACTGAGCACAGACTGACCATGTGAGGGGGGGCACGTGGCCGCAAAGAAGGGAGAGCGGAGCCTTAACTAAACTCCACCCCCAACAGAGGGGCTCTGTCCTGAGACCCCCGCCACCCCCTGCTCCTTCCCATGGGCAGTTCCCAGATGCCAGGGGATGGGGATCATACCTCCATCCAGGTGACCCGTGGCTGAGGCCCAGGACCCCCCCCTCCCTCACCCCAGCACAGCAGTAAGCTAATGTCTAGCTCCCCTGGACCGGCCTGGCAGAGGGGGCGTTCCAGGCACTGAGCCGGGCACTGTATTGGAAGAGGAGAGATCGGGGCCAGATGCCACCAGCAGCACCCGGGCCCCCCGAACGCTGCCCGAGCAGAGCTTTCCCTCGCTCAGCCCTTCTACTGGGGGGGGCTGTGAATGGGGTGGGGGGGGTTTCTCAGAATTAAGAACATCTGGCCTCAGACCCCAGCAGCTGCGCCCTCCCCCCGCCACGCCCCCGCCTCCGGCGCTCACAGCCAGCGGGCGCTTGGGACGCAGGTAGGCACTTGGGAAAGCCATGGGTGGTGCGTGAACAGGAGCTGTCAGTTCCCAGCAGAGCGAGCGTGGCTGGGTCCGGGGCACCGGGGGGAGATGATTATTCGTCTTCAGAACTGGAGTCTTTGCGGGCAGAGGGGGCTGGGAAGGCAGCAGGGGTGCCCCCCCTCTTTGAGTCCACTGCCCTCAATGGACAGACCCCACAGACTCTGGATCCAGCCCGCAGTCCCGGGGGGAGGTGGTGGGCATCTTGCGCCTCCCTCTGGAGTGGAGATCAGCCCCCTTTGGCTAGTGGGGGGGGGGACAGCCATGTGTATAATTGGGGGGGGTCTGCTGCCCCCTCCCTTGGTTGGGGCACCCGGCTCTGTTTGAACCATGGAGGGAGGGCGACATGGCTGCCCCAATGAGGGAGCACCACCCCGCCCTGCCCAGAATAGGGTCTGATGTCACCCCCGCCCCCAGAGACGGCTGAACCTCCCCCGGCGCTGCGGGGAACCCGGGGGGCAGGAGCTGGGAGGTATTTTTAGCTCTTCCCCGGTGTGTGTGACAATTCCCTGCATGGCCGGGATGATGCAGCTCGCGGGAGGGACCCGGGGCCATGACGTCCGGGAGCCAGTATCTGTGGAGCCGAGTTGGGCTCCCCAGGCTGAGTCACCATAGCGACTCCCAGCCACCGCAGGCTCGGGCACAGGGCTGCTTGTCACCACTCCCTCGCCGGGGGAGACGCCAGAGCCACGCTGGCCAGAGAGCTCGGGGGTGAGCGGGTGCTGCTGACACCAGTTGCCAGTTCTGTGCCCCATACAAAGCATCTCAGGCCCGATTTACAGCCCTTCCCCACCCCCACTCCCGGACTGGACTCTCCCACACAGCCCTGCTAATGCACCTCAATCCTGAGCATCAACACCCACTCCTCATTCCTCGCCCGGCCTCTCCCCACACAGCCCTGCTAATGCACCTCAATCCTGAGTATCAACACCCACTCCTCATTCCTCGCCCGGCCTTTCCCCACACAGCCCTGTTAATGCACCTCAATCCTGACCCGCGGTCCCCTTGTATTCCTGGCCTAGGCTCTCCCACACACAGCCCTGCGAATGCACCTCACTCCTGACTCGCAGCCCCCTGCTAACCCAGCCTTGGGGCCTCACCTGAGCAGTCATGGGGCAAAACTAGGTGCAACAACAGACAAAACCCCCCATGAGCAAGGAAGCTGGGGCTTGAGTGGTTGGGTTTGCTTCTCCTGTGCCCAAAGTCACCTTCAGAGGCAGGTGTCCGGGGTGACGCACTGTCCCTTAGAAGCATTTCCGCTCGGACCTGGCGAGCAGGAAACTGATCTACCCCAGGCAGGGGCCGTGCTGCCGTCACGGCTCCAGGCGCAGACCCGTACTTGGCTGCATCAGGTCCCCGCCCGGCAACGCTGGGGGGTGAGGCCAGGGGCTATTCTCAGAGCCATGACGTCACTGCTCCCATCTGGGAGGCCAAGTTTTCCATCTCCGCTGGCACCATTCATTCCTCAGTGCGTCTGCTCCCCTTTCCGCTCCTTGACTCACAGGCTGAGGTCCTCCGGGGCCAGGGCTCCCCTGTGCTGGAACAGGGACCTGGGTTTGATTCCCGGCCGGAGACAGGAGCTCTGGGGAAGCAGCACCCAGTTCAGCAGCGTCTCTTTCTAGCTGATGCCAAGGCAGTGAGGGGAGGGGACACTCCCTGGGCCCCTTGGATGCTGGGTCAAAGTCTGGGGAGCCCCTGGGGAAAGGGAATCATGTGCCCAAGTGGAGGCTGTAGGGTTGGCCCTGCAGGGGGGAGTTCCCCTTTTTGTTCCCAGGCCCTCCCCACTGGGGATCTCTTGCCAGTGCCCCTCAGTCCTCCCGACCCACAGCCCCGCTGCTTTCCCAGCCCTGGGCTCCCCCGACCCCACAGCTCTGCTGATGCTCTTCAGCGTTGACCCAAACCCCACCTCCTGGGTCAGTGTGCTGCAGGGCAGGTGGTGGTGCCCCTTTAAACTATTAGCCCTCATGTTAACTGTCTCTATCCTTCTCCCGGGACACATGGCAAGACCACTGGAGATCATCTCGCTGGCCCCTTTGCTGGGGAGCCCCAGACTGGGTAGCAGGCCCCCGTAGCAGTACTATTGTATGTCAGAGTAACCCCACCCACCCCGGGGAGTGAGCTGGCCTGCCTGGGGGCTGCAATCCCAGAACCCCTGGGTCAGAGGAGGTCTTGGCTCCGCCACAGAGTTTCCGAGGCCCTGGTGCCGGTGCTGACGGGGGAGTTTGTCCTTCCTTGTCAGCCCAGGAGTGTCGTCTGCCA